AATATTTGAAAACACCAAGTACGAACAAGCGTTTGTTAGAACATTAATACTTAATTTACGCAGCAAGGAGGTGGTAATGGATGACGAAATTAACCACAACGAAAGTTGCGATAATAGAACTATATAGGTATTTTTTGTACATTCATTTGGACAATTTTTTTTTAGTCAAAGTCTTTGTAAGAAGACGCTGATTGCGTTTATCGGAACTAAATTGTATCATAGAAGTGGGTGCAGGCCGCCAAAAGTAAATTAATTGCCGAGAAGTTTTGATGACAGGGATTTAGAATTTAATATAAATTACGTAGACTAATGATTATCTTATTTATTTATATACTTTACCCTCTTTATTTTAATACTTTAAAAACACCCCTTATGCTATATATATAGATTTAAAGGGTAGGGCTTCGTCAATAAGGATAAGTAATTATACAACGATTCTAAAAATAAAACGACATTTGATATGCTCATTCTTCAACTATTATCTAATCAATTGACGCGTTCAAACCTATCCACAGTTTATATGATTTACTCGATTATTAAAATATATTATTCGGATTAAATAATGGACCTTTTTTCACCATTTAACTCGAAGAACCATGGGCGCATCCATGAAAGTTCCGTTCACCAATATTTGTATGGTCTCTTTATTAGTTACTGTAGAAAAAGCTGCTTTTGCGGTAACTCGTCGCGTGATACCGAAACTTCTTAATACCTCATCCTCTCTAAACGTAATTTCTTTTATTTTGTGACGACTTGAATCATTCATCGACACGTCCACATTCACGCTGTTGACATCCAATTCACCTTTATCCATACTTTCATTCATTATCACAAAATTAAATGGGTTAAATATAAAAATGAATAGTAACAATAATATGGTCATCCTTACGCAATTGAGTGTTCGAAGATATCAAGGTGATGGAATAATAAAACCGGAGGATGAATGAGATCACCGGTGACGACGGTTCGTAAACAATAAATAAGCCCCGTTTTCGTATGTTTGAGCAAAGATAATGTTAAAATACCGAGGAGTGCAAGATCCGTTACGCAAGAACAGGCAAAGCAAATACCTTAGACAGAAGTGCTCAGACTACAAACCCATCAAGGATATCGAATCAGGTCTTAACTGGAAATGCAAGGATTTCATATCCATCGTACCGAGGGGATATCGGATCGGTCCGCAGATTTGCATACAAGCTTGTCGAATGAATTCTTAGCAAGAACAGTACAAAGACCATGGTGCTTGGTTCGAATGTCAATTTTAATGACACCGAATCCGATGAACTTGCCGAAGACCTATTATCGATCGTTACTATCTTTTCGGCAAAACACAATGAACTCGGATCAGCCGAGAATCGAAAACGATGAAGAGAGAATAAACACGGAAAATATGGATTTATCAATGTTCGAAGAGAGGGGAAAGTTAAGAAAATAGATGGACGTACAACAAGGTTCTTGAGACAGTACAAGACGATGGAATCACCGACATGAGTGTCATACGAAGGCACTACCTGAATGATGAGTGCTTCACAACTGAAGAACTTTTCTGGGTAAAAGAGACCCCTAGGGAAGTCGTTTGTATGCGATTGAATTATCGATCGAAGAAGGATCAAACACAAACCATCACAATCTTTGCTAGAGATTGGAATGGGAAAAGAGGGAAGTACAGTACGTGTTCTAAAAATATTATCATCTCAGAACGATCACTAGATATAAATAAATGCGATTAAAATAAGTACAAATCACCTGAAACATTTTATTTAGATATTATTGATAACCAAGATGATGTTCGGGAAAGGTAATCTAATCTCGCTCGATCAGGTGCTCGCACGGTTACGACCCTGACGGTCAATTAATTAAGTAGATAATGGTGGTTTTAATAAAATAATCAAATTATCCAAGAAATATGACAAATTACAGAGTGACAAAAATCTTGCTTTGAAAAAAACCAAATAAAAAAAAAGAGAGACTTCGATTAAGAAAAAAAATGCTACGTATCATACAACGAATCTGTATGAGTGCTATCATCAGCTGGTTTTTACCCAAACCCGAATCTTCGAAGATGGTTTTGAAGAACAAGCGAAAGATTCGGTCAAAGACAACTCATTTGATGCTGATCACATTGATGTTCTTACATCATAAGTCGAGGGAGTTTAGAGGTTGCAAGGTCATTGAATGAATGCACCGAAGAGTATACATCAAAGACGAATGGAAGTTGAGGATTCGTAAAAAATAATCTTGTTGGATTAAAAACGGTTAAATGTAATTGCGCAAATATTTAACGGAAGGTTAGGTCTGACCTGACTTTGGGAATTGAGCCTATAATATAATATACATAGGAAAGATTAACTTTATTTATTCATATTCAATTATGCCGATGATGATCTCGCCTTAGAGGATTTGAGTTCATTGCCTGCAGTTCATCACTACAATTTACCTTAGCAAAATCTTGATTATGTTATATTCCTAACCATTTTCTTCCCTCCTTTATTTTATTATATAAAGTCTTTGTAAGGTCTCTGTGGCCATATTACTATCAGTCGATGAATTTGCGTATGTCGGTGTCACTTTTGTCTTTTTTGTATGTGCATTATACAATTTAACAAGATGATGGGATGGTAAAAGAGATTTTGAATTCATTCCAAATTTTTGAACTATATTTACACTGTCTTCCAAAAAAAGAACACAACACCTGATTGTTAATCTTTAAGTATTAAAATTTTAATCAGATCAGATCAAATCACGGCGAAATTAATAGTACGATCTTTGGGAATTTTCGCGTTGCTAGTTTAATGTTTATCCGTAACACCAAGAACTAAACATTTTTTTGTTTGTATTACATCAATTGTTGAACTAATAGTGCAATCAACCAACAAATGCCAAAACAATTCATCTCCGCTTTGTCGGGCTTGGATCAATGTGTCAACATAAAAATAGCAGATAATATACAACCATAGAACATGAAAATCAAGTCAGGACTGTAGTACTGTAAAAGGAAAGAAAAGGAAATGATGTGTCATCTACACAATAAACGTCTCGTGTTACATTTTTTTTTCTATGAGAACGAACTGTGGTTGAAGCCTATTAGGTTCAAAAATAATTAAATTCCGTGTAGTGGATTTTTAAATGATAAAATTACGTCTAACCATTTGTAAATTTTTGACATTCGAGCTGTTAGTAATGATAATATGAATTGCACGAGATTGAATTTCGCGGAAAATCTTTTCTTTTGATGTCACGTGCTTTACCGAATTCATATATATCTATATCTATATAAATCTCTCGATGAATCCAAGTCTCAACTATTTTATTTAACTTTATTCTATTTAAAAAAATAAAACGCATTCATCATGACTTTATAATTTAACCATTTCAATAAATAAAAAAAAAATTAGAATTTTATAATTTCAAAATTTTCTATTTCATCCGATTGTCAAAATGTCAGAGAAAAATCCACAGGAACCTGAAATGATTGAGAAAGATGAATCCATGACAGTGGTCGACATCTCCGAAAAATTGGAAACTTATACCAATGAAACAACAATCAATGATTCAATAAACAATAATGATGGCGGGCCAGTGGTGCAAATGTCGAAAACCAAATTTGTCCTAGTGTTTGTCGGGTAAGCTTCCGGGAAAGACGAAAGTCACATCGTTTTTTTGCCATTGATTAAAATACCCATTACGAATTTGCTTCATCCTTTTTATTCTTTTCTATCTTAATTCCATTTTGCGCCATCGCCTAGTCTCACTTTTGGTCTTTTCCTAGCGGCTTTAGATATGACCATCGTGGCCACAGCCTTGTAGGTTTATTTTTCTTATTTATTATTTCTCTTTTGATTGATCGACTGATAATATTTTTGAATTTAGGCCCGCAATTGTTGCTGAATTCAACGCATTGGATGATATTTCTTGGGTGGGAACGGCGTATTTGCTAACTGGGGTAACTATTGTTTTCACGCGTCTCTTTAAAATAAAATCATGTGATATAAATATCATTACTGTTAGACCGCTGTTCAACCGACTTACGGAAAAATATCCGACATTTTCGGACGAAAATCCACATTTCTGGGGGCAATTATTACATTCGAGCTGGGATCTTTATTATGTGGTTTATCAACAAATATGGTACGTATTAAACTTCGATTTTTGTGTTAACTTCGGAACGTGACTAATGATTTTTGCCTTATCTTAGACTATGCTAATTATTTCTCGTGCGATTGCCGGCATAGGGTAACAATAATTTTTTGAAAATTTGATTTCTTTCGCTTTTCACCGATCTAATTTCATACATAACATATTCAGAGGTGGTGGAATTTTCAGGTAGGATTATCGCATTTTATCCGTGTTTTCTGCATCATTTTTCCATGCTTATATTCAATTTCTCTTAATAATGCGCCAGCCTCGTATACATTATAATAACAGAAATCGTACCAATTCAAGACCGTGGAAAATATCAGGGAATAGTTGGTGGATGTTTTGGCTTTGCGTCCGGTAACCACATGTCTTTTTATTCCTCCACGCAAATTTAGCCCTATTCAAAAATTAAAAATTCTTATTTAAATGTCCAGTTGTCGGTCCGCTTCTCGGAGGTATATTCACGGATCACGTCACTTGGAGGTTTGTGGAATTCCTACTTATTTCATTTATTTATTTATTTATTTTCACTCCTATTTTTTTTAAAAAAATTCACATTGCATTGCTAGGTGGACATTTTATATAAACCTACCGCTGGGTGCTATAACTGTTATTTGTGTGACACTTGTCCTTCATCTACCGCACCCTAAGGGATCTTTTCGACAGAAAATCAAACGCATAGACTGGTTAGGTACTGTTGTCGTCGTGGTAGCGACGGTGAGCGTATTGTTACCATTAAGCTGGGGTGGAAATAAATACGGCTGGACTTCGCCCATCGTGATTGTATTATTTTGTGTGGGTGGTCTAGGATTTGTCATATTTGCGTATATCGAAGGGTGGTTAGCCAACGAACCTATCGCTCCAGGTTAATATATAATACGTCTTTTTGAAAACATGCAAAGTATATAAAAAGAATCACGGAAACGAGTTCATTTAAAATTAATGTTTTATTATTTTTATTATAGGACATTTGTTTTTGAACAGAACGGTGGCTTTTGCTTATGCCGTAACACTCTGGCACGGCATGTTATTCTTCTCTCTGACCTATTTCGTGCCGCTATATTATCAAGTCGTAAAGGGGCATACCGGTATTGTATACATTTATTTACGACACCTTTTTCAACAATAATTGTTAACTTCGCTTCACCTTCAACCTTTTTCCCAAAAGCAACTCAATCTGGCTTTGATCTTCTCCCATTTATTTTTGGTGTATCTACTTTGTCCATTTCAACTGGCCAATTACTCTCTCGCACCGACTTTTTCTCTTACAATGTCATATGTCTGGTTGGTTCTGTACTGATGACCATTGGTGGAGGACTTTTAAGCACCCTGACAGAAACTTCGAACCGGGGAGAACAAATTGGATATTTGTTGATCGCTGGTATGGGCGTAGGTTCTATTATGCAGACCATATTACTAGCGGTGCAGAATAGTGTGGAAAGAAAGGATGTGGCATCTGCTACTTCTCTACTGACTTTCTTCAGAACTAGTATGTATTCTTTTAAAGGATATTTCATGTCTTTGATTTTAGATGACTGTACTAAGCTCTAACCTCATCTTGTAAATTATAGTGGGTGCAGTGTTCGGTGTGGCAATTCTAGGCGCAATACTCAATAACGAACTCAATAAAAATCTAGTTTCCCTTATCCCACCAGGAATCAGTCCGGAAGTCGTAATTCACAGTGGTTCATTATTAAATGCGCTACCCGACTCGCAGAAGAAACTGATTGTCCATAAGTTTGTGCAGTCATTAAATGAGACTTTTAGGAGTGTCATACCTATGGGTGTATTATGTTTCGTCTGTGTGCTGGGTGTGAAATGGTTGAAACCAAAAATAAATAAAAGCGAAGAAACATTGGATCTTCAAGAAGAGTCAAAAGACGTGGAGAAAGAGTGAGAACAGAAAAAGAATATATATATATATATATTGTACGTATATATATGTAAATCCTGGATACTGGAACTTATAATATACTTACTTATTATCTAATCAAAGTATATGGCATATACACAGTCTTATTTTATTATAAAAAGTAATTATTGAATTAAACTGTTTTTTTAGAAATATAAAAATATAATTGTTTCGATTGTTTTTAAATATAAATTATGATTAAAAATAAAAACTAATATATATCTGATATACAGTGTGTTAAGAAAAAAATTGCAATTATATTTTTATTTATAACTTAATAAAGAATTGATAAAAATTGATAA